AGACAAAGGGAACGAATGTAGAATTAGGTTTTTAAGGGTGTAAAAAAGAGAAAAGAGGAAAATGTAGGAAACCGTAAACACGAAAGAATGCAAATTGAATTATGACTCATAGGGTAAAAGGGGGAACAGAACAAAGAAAAAAAAATATTATATAATTTTATATTAAGAACAGTATATTTTACACTGGTCAGCCTATCCACTTTTCTTACTATTACTGTGCTATTGATGTCTCAAATGAGGGAAATTTGCGCATTTTAGAGCAGCCTTGTTTCCGAGAACCGTCCAAAAGGCAGTGATGTAAACAGCGTGCCAACGACGAAACAGCCCACTGCAAAGCAAACCGAGCCGTTTGACTGCTCCGACAGTGAAATGAATTCGAAGGAATTGGTGAGATTTCAGTGTTTTTATAAATTACCTTTGATGTCTTGAGAAGAGCGAAAGCTGGCCTTGTTAAGCAACAAATGCATCATTGAGCCAGGTTGTGTAGATCTGAATGTTTGATCTCTGTGAGACATGCTGCACCGAAAAAGGTAGCCATGAGCTAACGAGCCATAATTCGATACTTGGTAGGTATCAGCAAGTTGTAGCATTTTTCTAACAAAATAATCCGTCTAATGTGAATAGTATTATTAGAGTAATTTACGCTATGAGGAAGAGTTGATCTGGTCGTTTGTTTTAGAGTGATATTCTTCACATCACTTAGTTAAAAGAACTCTAAGTGCTTTCTCATCGTTTCTTCCTCGCGAAGCAGAAGATTGTTTTACTTAATTCTAAATGTGCCCAGTGGAACTTTGCTCCCATGATATTATTTATACTGTCGGACTTTTCAGTCAGTCAGCGCGTCACCTGACAAAAAATTAGTGCCTAACAAACACATCGAACATGCCAGTACCATGTCCTCCTTGGACTCATCTGCACTGGACGATGAGAAAGAATTGTTTGCTGATGATGAGGTGAGTTTTTTTTTTTGGTCGTTCTCCAAGTGTGTCTTATGGCTGTTAGCGAGCTGGAAATTGCCAAGATAATTTGGCAAAATGCAGCGTTATATTCTTTCTTGACAATTCTTCCTCGATACGGCATTTCCATCACGGACGCGCTGTTGATCTTCTGTAGTGACTGAGCCGATAGCCACACCGCCTAGCTCTATCCTGAGCTCGTCTCATCCAGAATACTCCGCATAATCGAGTTAGCGGATCGGACCAGCGCATGCGTGGCCTTCCTGTGGTCTTTTTACATGTCGCGGGTACCAATTGATAACGCGTTTCGTCCAATTCAAATTTCTTAAATATATGTTTGCCACGCATTTGCCACTAGTAGTTCCTTTAGTTTCGTCATTTTTGTGAAATTCCAGCTATTTCTTCTCGTTTCTCCTTTTTTTTTGGCTGTGATCATTGTCATTCTTTATTTTCAATTAATATTTTAGCGGGCTGAACAAAAGAAATGTCTCTGGTGGAAGCTGCTTGAAGATTTGCAGTTAAATAGAATGTTACTTTATAATATGTTATCATCGTGGAATGGCGTGCTTGAGGAAGCATCAGTTGCAAGAGCCTACTGTGACCAGTTGATATCAACTTTATCATCGCACGAGAAGCAGGTTCCTCCGGTTTGTTTAGTTGATTTTTAGTGAAATACGGTGTGGCAAAAAGGGAAAGATTAGCTCAGAAAAAATTTTTTTTGTCATCTGGTAATAAAGTCGCCCCAAAGTTTTACTTAAAATTCGTTTTGCTGGAACCCTAATTGTGTATGAAATGGAAGCTCAAGACGAATCCAAACGTTCCTTTTTATGCGTTTTTTTTTTTTTTTGCGTCTATGCAATGCAAGAACGCATACTGTCGAGGGGTTGTTTGTGTATGTATGTGTGTGATTGTGTCTGTATGTTCATTTGTACCGATTTTTATGCGTTTTGTGCTGTGTAACAGCAGTACAAAACGCATATTGTTACGGGGTTG